GGAGGTAGGTAGCGGTGCATTCCAGAGGAGCAAGAGGCAACTCAGCCAGATATTATACGTGAGAGAAAGAGGGCGAAAGCAGCCCCCCCTCAAATAGTTCACAGAGTATATTGTAAATGCAGATAGTAAAGTCCTCAGTCTGGCAAGGTTTGGTTTAGAGGCGTGAAACAATGAATTCAGCTTGGAAGAATCACCTTTTCTCATTCTTGGTTTGGGGCTTGACGCATTCACTTAGGAACAAATAAAAATGTTTTGGCAAGTTTTTGGGGTGGCTCGTAGACATTTTAAAACTCAGTTCTACCTGAGTTTAACACACTAAGTTTAGGACCTTTTCTTTTAAGCGAAAGTTCATGCTACAAATAAAAAAAAAAGGAAAAGGAAAACCAGATTTTTTTAAAGCCAGTTTTCTCTGGCATTAATGTGAAGAATACACTATGGTAAGAAATATGGCTAGGAGCTTCATCAGCCCATGAATGGTCTACTCCTTGATATTAGGATACCTCACTCAAACGCCTATGTTAAATACATACAGGAGAAGAGAAGAGAAGAGAAGAGAAGAGAAGAGAAGAGAAGAGAAGAGAAGAGAAGAGAAGAGAAGGGAAGGCGTACTGAAGCCATTCTTTAAACTCACTTTCCATCCTCTGATGTAAGACTGTACAATGATAGCAGAGCGCTTGATCTGCCGGTACTTCTTTTGTTGCTGTATTAAAAAATAAAAATAAAGTATGTGCATACAGAAACGTGTGTTGAGTTTTAAAATACTGTGTTACTAAATAAACTGCACACTTTTGCATTCAGTCTCTAGGCTATCTAAGAAAGTATACAGAGCATACTGCAACAAAGAATGTCTTCAGTGGTTTTATTGTGACATATATTTTTATGGGACTATTCTTGAGAATGCCTGTTCCTAAACACAGTTGTTTCTAGAAGCATACCTCTGTAAAAATAGCCCTACACCACCTTGACCATGACCATGAATGAAGTGAAAATAATTAAATTATGGTCAATAATTAGCATGATTAATTGATTAATCATTAATCAATTAATTGATTTCATTGTAGTTGCAGTGAGAGACCAGTTTTTTCCATTATTTCAAACTTTCTGTTTACAAGCTTAAAAGTTGCTGTTTTCCCAAACACATTACCTATCAATAACACATAAGCAACAAATCTGTTTGCTTTTCAAATTAAAATCAAAGTGTTATTTTTAACCAAGACAAAAAATATTTACAGTGAGCTGTTACTTAAGTAACTGTCTTATAATTATTAAATTATAACAGTGCCTTAATCTATTAAACTCCAAATCAGTGTAGCCAAGCTGGTGTACATTTTAACTTTCAATTATTTTTTATTTTGATGTTAGCATTTCTTTTTTAAATTACTGTCAGGCACACTGAAGGGGCAGAAATACAACCTAACAAATAAAATCCCATCTTACCGCATATTTTCTATACCAGGCAGAAATCACAATCTGACTTTTTTTCATTAGAAGGAAATACGTGCGGCACTTCCAGCCCCTGTAAATTTTTTGGATTAATGTAGCCAAATCCTCAAGACGTTGCTTTCTTAAGTCTTCTAATTTGAAGAGCTACACCGATTTGGGAAAGAAAAACAGAACATAAAAATAAAAATGAATACATATTTACAAAAAAAATACCTTGTTCTCTAAAGAAAGCTAGATTGGTGTGATCTCTAAAATATCTAGGTCTTGATGTACTAATTCCTTTGGTTCAATTATGGTACTCAACAGATGACTTTAGAATTTATGCATTTTTTTAGTCTAATCTATTTTAAATCTGGTTAATGGAAGGAGCAGAGAGTTGGAGTTTATTCAATTTGTAGGCCGCCCTATTCCCCAAAGGGACTCAGGGCAGCTGAACAAAAGCCAAGGGAGGGGAAATTACAAAAAGTAAAACAAAAACAATCAGACAATACGAACAATTTAAAAGCACGACACAGCAAATTCGAGTAGGGGGGGCACTCAACCCTAGGCTTGCTGGGACAGCCAGGTCTTCACGGCCGTCCGGAAGGCCCGAAGGGTGGAGAGGGTCCGAATCTCCACGGGGGGCTTGTTCCAGAGGGCCGGGGCAGCCACAGAGAAGGCCCTCCTCCCAGTAGTCGCCAGCCGACA